GGTAACATGGTATATTAACCAAGATTGTAAGGTAGTACTTTGACTGACATCACAACCAATAATTAAACAAGTTTATCTTCATATGAAAAATGTAAAACAATGTGGAAGTTCCAAGACCAAAAAGACACCTTCAAAGATAGCCTACTATTATAGTCAACACCACAGTCTTACTCTAATAAGACACTACATCCAAAACCATCCAACAAATATTTATTGAGCGCGTACTATATACAGTCCCCTTCCAGGTGCTGAAGCCCCCACAAAGAGCAAGTCGGACAAGTTCCATACTCTCAGGGAATTTACATACTCCGGGGGTGGTGGGGGGTAGGTTTACAATTACTTAATTGATGAATACAAGAAGAATACCAAAAAGTGATAATAAGTACCATGCAGTTAATTAACCTTGATGTGATAGTGAGGGCTGTCTAATTCAGATTAAGTGGGCAGAACAAGACCTCACTGAGAAGATGATCCATTTAATTTGGAAGATGGTAAGGTGCTACCCATGCACAAGCACCTGATCAGTGTTGCCCACAGAAACAACAACCCCCAAGTAAGGCTTGCAATTCCATACGATGTGTGTTCTGTCCCGCTGTTTCATCTCATTCCCAGGCCCCAACGCTTGATGAGGTAGAACAAAAGAGGCTGCATGAAGGAGGCTTTAAAAAAGGCCATATCCGTTCCTTACTCCAGGTCCTTCAAGCCTCAGGTTGGCCTCGGCTGCCCAGCAGGGAGGAGAAAAGAGAAGAGTTGGGACTCCAATATGACTGAAATGGTCAGTAGCTAAAAGTGTGAAGATGGTTAACAATCAATATGGCAGGCACACTGATCAATCAGGAAGGGGGCCAGCAGGGTTGAAGTAGTATCCTAGAGGTATAAAGGTTAAAGAAAACATGAAGTGGAAGGGCATACAAAGAAGATCTGTAAAAGATAAGTGTCAGGAAGGATGAAATGAGAACAGACAAAGCTAAAATTTTGGTGTCCGAGATGGAGCTCTACAAAAATGCCACCCCTAGGGAACGTTTAGTGTCAGATCCTGGCCTCTATTTCAAACTATTTAACAAATAATATACAAGTCCGTAAAGCTTTCTACAGACCTGAACACCTTTTGGAGGTAAATATAAAATACATCAGATTAATTATAAAAGATAACAATTGGTAGGAGGGGAATGTTACCAAAAAGTAGAATGGGGCTTTTTTGTCACCAATTGTGAAAAACAATATTCATCATTACATAATAGCACTTTACTTCTTCAACTTCCTCAACAGTCTCAAACAGAGCAGAGAACAAGGAAGAAGTCCTTTAAAAAAAAAAAAAAGCCTCTAAACAACAAAACTAAATGGCACAAAGGTCATGCACTATAACTTATAGACTAACTCACAGGAAGTCCCTTTAGCACTGGGTCAGAGCCTATTTACTCTGGGACACCATTCTAAGGATTGTGATTATCTATTTTCAGTAAAATAGAGCTTTGAAGCTACCCCCTAGAAAGGGTAGGGGGAGTGGACACAGCTTTGTGGGACAAAGGCACATGGCAAGCGGAGGAGGAGCAAGCTGGAATCAAAAAAACAGAGAGAGAGACAGGGAAGCCACAAACACAAGCTATGTGGATTCAGGAAGGCATTCCTAGAGGACCATTTATCCCCAAAGTAAATGGCCCCGTGGGCCACAAAAGTTCTTGAGGAAAAGAGCACATACAATAAAGATGTTCATAAGCATAACCCTAACTAACAGAGACATATTCCAAATCTGCCCTCAAAATGGTTAAAGAAGATAAGAACGGGAAGCACATTTCGGCTCCATGGGTAAATTTGTGTCACCAATGACACAAAGTGGATGAGGCCTTAGTCCGTCAACAACTTTGTGATTGGGTGTCTATGTGGGCTATATGCAATTGATAAAGTAAGCTTTGTTTCTTTTTGGGTTTTGATGCTGCAACGCAGAAGCACCATCCCAGAACTTACTGGTTTCATAGCAGGCATTCTCCTCTAAATGAGTGCACACAGATATTAGTCATTTTTCCCATGGTCATACAGGAAGTATAGGCCAGAAACCCTATATAAGTCAGCGTTCTTATCTTTTATCTCCTTCTTTAAGTTACATCTGGAGACCGTTGTTTTACATGTGAAACTTCAGGGTTAGAAGTCAGGTTAAGAATTAAGGACACAAAGGTAACATATAATATTGGAGGATAAAGCTATTCTCACAGCAGAGTGGCAAGAATTGCAATAGAGTATTAGGTCAAAAACCAGGTAATGAATAATAGCAGGGTAAATGACACTGATCCCTCAAAATGAATTTTGAAGCACCTCCACATGATCCAACCTAAATCCAAATATCTAGCATTGGCTATAGCAATCAATTTCCATTATTTATAACACCTCATGGGACACCAAGATAATACTGAAATGAGGCAGTCCTGGGGATCTGATTGCATCAACATCTGAGAATTTAGAATACTGGAGAAAAGACAGTATCACTGGGGAGAGGTCTCTGAAAGCACAAATGAGTTCTTATAGTCACAATAAATAGATCAATTTGGACATTTGGCACTTAGAAGACCTTTCACAAAATGATGCAATGTACACACTGGGCCAATGACATTTCTGTGTGGCATCTCCAGAGGGTTTGTACTTCCAGAATTGGGCAATCATCAAAATTGAAAATAGCAAGAGGGCAATCAAAAATCAATCATAACTATGAGGGCAAAAAATCCCACCTAAGGAAACAGAAAATTTGGAACCCCCCCCAAAAAAAGAAGAAAAAAAAGGTCCAGCAAATTTGTTCACATTCCAGGGGGATCTTCTTTGGAACCTACCTGTTATCCTCAAATCTTGGAACCCTGAAGCACAAAATCAACCTGAGCATGTGCAGGAAAATAGCTCTATATTGCCCCCTAGTGCTGGATAGTCCACTTCTCCTGAGGCTAAAAACTACAAGGTGAGTAGTTCTCTACCTCTAGTTACTTCCTGCTGCCAACCCTCCCAAGCGCTAAACATAGCCCAATCCTCTACCCACAGATTAGGAAATACCCAGGCTATTTTTAGCATCATGCAACTTAGGAATGGAAATGGCCCAACCTCTGATGGTAACAGAATGCGTGTGGCCTGGATTAATGAACTCACCTCTCCAGAGGGTGTGAACCTATTCAATAAAGTGGCCAATGACCACAGGAGAAGCTCTGGGGCCCATTACAAACTGATGACGGTAGGTGGATCACAAGAAAGAATGACAATCAGAGGCACAAGTAGCAACGGGAATTGGAAGGTGACAGATGCCAGGACAGGCTTGATAAAACAGTGCAGAAGGAGAAATGATAATGGTACAGGAACAATAAAATACAGAACACAGAAGCCAGGAATATTGTGCATTGTCATTTTGGAGAAGCTTGTCTAGTAAGAAGCAATATTTTGAACTGGACATTTATTTTACATGAAAAAGAACAAAGGTTGATCTGATCTGTTTCCTGCCAGGGTACAGCTGGTGCTGGGGCTCCTTTGATCACTTTCCCCCAATCCTCTGCAGCTCCTGTGATTAGAGATAGATCCCTAGGCTGCCCTTTGATCAGCAGCTCAGGCGGCCTACAGGTGCCATGTGCCATCACATTAGCAAGTTGTAAGAAGCAACTACATTAATATTGGCTGATAAATGTGATAATGTGTATTTGCTGCACGTACAACACATACAAATAATGTCTACAAAAGTCCCAGGAATCCTTATTTAATCTATCTTTGTACTTTAAAACTTTCTGTGCTTTCTTAAGTATGAACACTTCAGAGAGCTTAAATTCAAAGTCGAAGCTTGAAAACAACCCGATATGTAAAGAAAAAGTTTGCTCTGACTTAAAAACACAGCACACACCATTCTGATTTTCTAGGTATGCTGCTTGGGTTCATTTCCCCTGGTTAATAAAGTGACAGCATTCTTGCATTCTGAATAGATGGCATACAAAGCAGTAAAAACATGCACATTTCTTTTCAAATAACATTAAGAGCCACCACTTGTAAACAGAGTATTTAATATTCTAATTTTAGACAGCCTACATTAACATTGTGGTTTCATGTGCAGTATAAAATTTCTATTTACAAAGTATTCTCGAAAATGACTTCATAATGGTAGATCAAGAGAAAAAGAGTTTAGAAATTGAATGATGTAAATCATATGGGGTTCAGAGGCTAAGCAAATTACACACCCTGAAGCTGCCCTGGCTTTATGAAAGGAGCCTTTCTCCAGCTCTGTGCAATCCCAGCCCAAGGGAACTTGCATCTGAGAGTTTTCTAAACATTTCAGGTACACTTGAAAGCTGAAAGTAATTCTCATTTCCTATGCAGGATTAAGTCGTTTCCAGCACACACAAAATAGCAGTCATTCACCAACACATATAAAAACACACACCAGAAAGGTAAGTTCTTCAGAGTACAAAGGCACATTTAAAAAAAAAGAGAGAGAGCGCAAAAGAAATACATTTTTTTTAACTCCCCCTAAAAACGTCCACACGGCCCCTTGACCTCTCTATTTCCTATCTACTTACTGATTAATTGATGCCTTTCCACTTTGAGTGCTTCAATTAATGTGGCTGGTACATTTCCTCAAACACCCTCCTCCCCACGAAAAAGAAAATCAGAGTAAAGTCAAACATGCCAAGACTAATTCATTTTGTATTCATTTTTCGAGGCAGTTCTTGAACTTATAACTCTGGCAAGGAAAGTTTCTGCAATGTGCCTTTGAACTGACGTTCACAATCGCTCCCAGAATGTCTTCTCTAACTGAGCCAGCAGTGGCACTCCCGTTGCCCTCTTACAGCTTTGTGGCAGCTCCCGAAGTTGCAAACGGCACGTAACCTCCTAAAGTCTATGCCAATGAACGCAGCGCGCATTTGCATGGCTAGAGAGACGACTATACCCTCGCAGGCTAGTTGTACATCACACACCAACGCACAATGCCAACCTAACACACACCGCGAGAAACAAGAAGGGGGAGAAAGGGGTAAAAGACTCACCGTTCTGTTCCTTGTTGCTGGAGTACTGGAATTTACTACTCAGGTTGGACTCAGCCTGAGTCCCGTGTCTCTGGCCGGCCAGGGCAGATGTCAGCAGGAGAAGCCCGAAGAGGAGCATTTGGCTGACTGGGGCGAGAACTCACTCACGGCGGGCACTTTGGAAGCAGCGACTCCTGAGTCTCTTTCACCACCGCCAGGGGAAGGCTGCACTGGGGTGGAAGCGCCGAGCCTGCTCTGGCAGCAGAGAATCGCAGGGTAGTTTCCACATAATCCCATCCAAAACTTTTTCCTAGAGCCCTCTTCTGTGTCTCCAGTTTTTGAAAAGGATCAAAGCAAAACCTGGACCTGAACCAGTTTCCCAAGGTTTAAACAAATCCTGAGCTGTGCCGAAGTGGTGGGGGTGGGGGTGAAGACGAGGGAGGAAAGAGGGGGTGGGGACGCGGGGGAGCCGGGGGAGCCGCGAGAAGTCACCAGCAAGTTGCTGGGAGCACCTGTCAGTTCGGGGGACAGGACAGAGGCGAAAACTCGAGGGTCGCGCGAAGCCAGCCTCGAAGCCAAGTTGGCGGCGAGCAGTTTCTGATCAATAACAAAGCTGCCAATAGATGCGCTCTCCGGGCGCCCCTCTCCCCTGCCCCACCCCCACCCCCGAAGGGGGAGGGGGAAGAAACAGGGCTAGGGCGCCTCGGCGGGTCCCGGGGGCCGCGGAGCTGGAGCGAGGCCGGGGGGTGGGGGGCTCCGGGCCGAGGCCGCCCCGGGCGCGGGCGGAGGGAGGCCTCTGGGCTCCCGCTCCCCAGCCCGGCGCGCAGCCTGTGCCCGGTCCCGACCGCCGCGGCGCGGATCCCGGCACCTGGCTGGAGTTTTCCGCGACCAAAGTTCACCTTGTTTGAATGCGTCCCCCGCTCCTCGAAGCCAAGGGAAATTCGGCAGCTCGGGGTCACCGCGGGGCTCCGGTCGTTCCCCGTCCCCTCCCCCCACGCCTCGGGCTCCACGCAGACCTTGGAGCTCCGCGCGGCGTCTCGGCACCGGGTAGAGAGGGAAGGCCGGCGGCCCAAGGCTCCGGCTTGTCCCCTCCCCTTGTCTACCTTCCCCCAGCCGGCGGCGGTCGGGAGGAGGGGGCCGTGGGCAGAGCCCGGGCGGAGCGCGCGGCAGGCGAGCGGGGGAGGCTCAGCCGCTCTCCCGCGGGCGGCCGCAGGGGCGGGCGAGGGTCGGCGCCTCGGGGAGGGGCAGCCCCGGCCGCGTCCGCTCGCGCCAACTCGGGCCGCCAACTGGCGGTCCGACAGGTGCTGGCACAGACAGGGGGTGCTGCGGGGCTCGCCGCAGACAGGACCCAAACGGCCCCGGCGAGGAATGCAGCCAGAGTGGCCCCTGGTTTCCTCCCCCCCCAGGACGCCCCTAGCCCCAAATAAAGAGCAAGATGGGTGGCGAAAGGTACTGCAAACGCAGAAATCAGTGGAGAAGAACTTCCTGCAGCTCCCTCTCTTCCCCCGCCCCCCGTGGTCGTGACTCGTCATTAACTTCTGAGGGGATCCCCGTTCCCAAAGGCTTGGCCAGAGCTTCTGGACCGAAGGAACAAGGGAAATTGGATTTCAAAGATTTCCCTTCAGTTTCCAGCTCTCTGAAGCGGATGGGTAAAACAAAAGTAAAGCCAAACAGCCAGCACATTAATAGCAACATTCATTCATTTAGCAAACGCTATTTGTCGAATGCCTACTGTGTCGGGGACTGTTCTAAGAGTGGGGCGGTAGTAGTGAAAACACAAAAGGCTCTGTCCTCGCGAAACTTGCATACCAGTTGGACTGCATTAAATTGATATCAACCAAGTCCCCTGGCCAGCAAATCAGAAATAGCACCCGACCTCTTGTTAAATAAGGCAATGCAAACAATTCGACCATTTATGGTGTTCCACTGGGGGTTGGAAGAAAGGATATAGCCTTCAGGTATATGTTGAAGTACTGGTGGAGTCTCAGATGTCCAGGAACCGCCCTTCCTGGCCTTGCAGGGCCCTCTACCGAGTCAGCTGCCCTGAAAAAGGATACAGGGATGCTTGGGGAAGGCACATACACCTACTGAACCAAACCAGGAGCTGCCCTTTCCTCGGTCATGCTGAAAATGCCAAGCCCTCTTCCTGTATTTGGACACCCACTGAGACCAACCAACTTGACCTCTCTGTAATACCCTGGTCCTCTTCTTTTTTGCCTCTTAAAATTCTAATAAGCTCAGTTCGTCTTTACTCACCTATCCCATTCATTCATTCTTACTTCTTTCCCACTTGTCTTCACAGTGCGGGATACCAAGGCAATTAGACAAGGTCCCCCCTTTGACTTTAAAGAACATACAGGTTAGCTGACAAAGACTGGTTTACTTTATGTACTTTAGTAGCATCTCAGCACCAGTGTGAATCCATATTTGTGCAACAAATATATTCCAAAAATGTTTTGTGAATTTGTGAGGGAGAGGGGCAGTGTTCCCAATTTTAATAACATAATGAGACATGTTATATAAAAGACATGCTTTATGAGTGTCTTTTAATCTATTTGTAATAAAAACTAATCACTCCCCAGTTTTTCTAATTTTGTAAGTTTAATTTTCTAATCAGGGTTTTTCTAAATGAGGCTGTTAAATGTCCTTACAGTTGACATTTCTTGACCACCCACATAGAGGGTGTGTGCATGTGTGTGTGTGTGTGTGTCTGCAGATTTAATCCATCTGCTCTCATGAGATTATAAGAGTGATGACTATTCTTTATTTTGTATCATTTCATATTGGCTAGAACAGTGCCTGGCTCAGGGGAATAATAAATAAACACTCTTGACTGACTGACAGGTTTCTTTACTGGAGTCACTTACATTCTCCTTGGAATTTCAGCATGAAGGTTGTATTTGAAAAGTTACAGATGATCTAGAATAATACTCTACCTCTGCGTTTCACCTCATCCATATTCTACAGATTGATTTGACAATCACCTTATAAATAAAGCCAGCCAGGTGCTCCTGCATGACCCCTAGACAAAATCACGGTCACATTGCCTAGTTTCCTTTCAATGTACTTGCTTTGTTGTTTCTTGAACTGCACTTGCCCTTGGCATAGTTGATTCTTTTAACACTTTATCCTCTGTCTGTCTTCCTGCTCCATTTTGCTTATAAACCTTTCCTAGAAAAGTGGAACCCTTGCACTGAAAGTAAATTTTATGTAATCCAGAGGCTGCACAATTACTAAACAATATATTTTGAATGAATATGGCTTTGTTTTGGCCTAAGGCACTTTCCTTGAGGAAAGGTATCTGTTCCGCCAACCAAGAGAAAATAATTGCAAACATTCTTTGTGGTTTTCATGTTTTCTTAAACCTTAGGAAGGAGTGCCCATTTAGGCTGAATGCATGAACAGCGTTACCTACAAATTTCTGTTGAAGAACATGGTAGGACGTACTTGGTTATTAACAGTGATAATTTGGGGGAGGGAGGGTGGATGTCACTATTAATTTTGTTTAAGTGGAATAAGATTTAAAACAAATTGCCCATTTAGCTAGTCATGTAACACCCAGGAGGGCAAGAACCATGGGGACATATTTTTGCCTCAAAAAATCAAATATTGCAAGTTTCCTTGCTCTCTCTTCTTCTGATTCAATCCTAACTCACACACACACACATACACACACATTCACATACATAGAGGTAAATGTACAATATTATTTTACAAGGTTTCTCAGAACTTTAACTTTTCAGCATTTTAGTGGCAGATAATTGAGCATGAGTTTCTGAAGTTTAGAAATCTCTGACCTACCTAAATGCCCACTGGGTTTCCAGAATAGCTAACAAGCAACACTTACCTATACACTTAAATGAGACCAGATATCATTAGTAAGGAAGTAAATGCCCACAGATCACTGCAGAAATAAAGATTGTTCTAGAAAAAAAAAAATTAAGTAATCTCTCTTAGAGTCACCCTTTTCTCTCTCTACTCTCTCCAACTACCCCATCTTGAGAAACATACGATCTTGCTATCTCTAGAGATCTAGGATATACTAATACTCTGTTTTTCTAACCTAAAAATTAGAAAACATACTTTTTATTAAATTCTTTTCTTTTACAACAGTCGCCCTTTACCTCCCAGTGTAACAGCTGTTAATCTGAGAAAGACTTGCTTGCTGTGGCAAATGATAGAGGGTTGTGCTCAGGCCCTGCTCTTTTTAATTTTGACTTTTCTGGGAAAGGAGTTGGGAGGTGGGAAGTTAGAGGTGTGTGGCCAAGGGAAACGGGTGACAAGAACTGGCCTTTAGGTGACCCTCTGTGGCTTTTCCCATTGAAGTAAAGCTGCGGTTTCCTTTTTGAAATCACGGTTGAGTATGCAAAGATTTTTTCAAAATCTCAGAAGTGCTTGTCTGACTCAGAATTCAGAGGGAGTAAGTAGCCAGAAACAGCCCCAAAGAAAGAGGAGTCCTGGTAACCTTTGAACCACCACAACAGAAGATCATTTCACTGGAAGATGGGACACCAGGGACTCAGTCTGGCTTTGCCATGACCAAACAGTACAACCTTGATCTAGAAATCCTCTCTGTCCCTTCTCTTTACATGAGAAATTTACACTGGATTCTGTCTCAGTGCTCTTACCGTTTCAGAACTCTTTGGTTCTCTGAGCTATTTGAGGTAATGAGAGCAAAACTTTTTCACCTTAATTGTGCTTCTGTGATAATGCATGACTAAAACAACGGCTTCTCAGCCTCAACTTACAGGCGTCTTGGTGGCTGGCTAGAGATGATGAAAAGAGTTCTTCTCCCTAAACTTGTCCAATCAAGGTTGTCCTCTATAATCTGTTATTATTATAGTTCAACAAGACATGTTCCACTGATAAACAGAGGGGCAGAAGAAAGAGTTTGGAAATCACTGACTAATGCAAGTTATCAGGAGTTTTACTGAATTCAAGAAAACTAAGTAAATTAAGTGCAGGCATTCACATTTTAATTTTTAATATTTGGTATGATGATAGCAATGTCAGAAGATGCAAAGTGTGGTTCCAAGGTAAAGAGAATTAAGATCGTACATAAGTGAGTTGTAAATAAGGAAATAATATTGGTATTAGCCCAGAACAGATGGCCAATGTCCTACTGTTCGGTAGAGTCACACTGGTGGAATGTGAAACAATCCCGAGAGCAAGGGGCATCCCCTAAAAATGTGGGCAGCCACCAAACACTATGTTTGGTCATATCCGCCACTCAATAACATGTCATTTTTTCCTCCCTTGAAGTCATGCATAGGATATGAAGGCCTGCTGTCCACATTGTGACAAATCATAGTAAAGAGGTCATGGCACAGTTACAGATCCTCCTTTCTCAGATGGTGACCCTCTTATTTCAAAGGTCATGGGAGAAGGACCTTTTCACTTTGTGATCATTGTTTCAAATGCAGACCTTTCCTTGGCTATGAGCCTTTGCAAAAGAGGTGGAGAACCTCAGTACTCTACTTAATGAACATTTGAAAAGTTTCAGTGGTTAGCAAAAAAGAAAACGTGGCTTAACTAATCTAAGTATCCTGAATTGCTTTTAAAGCTCCAGATAGTTCTAGAGATTTTCATACTCCTTTCTATTATGATTATTACTATTTGCTTTTTATGATCTTTACAG